TGAACGGCGCGCGTGGCCGGATGCCGGCGGCGCGGCGGGCGCTGTGGCCGGGCTGCGAGCGGCGCAGGATGAAGGTGCTGGTGGCGGCGGCGGCGCTGGGCGCGGCCTTCCTGCTCCTCCTGCCCGCGACCTCCCGCGCCGACGAGCGCAAGAAGGGACCCAAGGTCACCGCCAAGGTCGGGGGGGGGATTGGGAAGGACTCCATGGGGGGAGCCCGCATGCGGCGGGGGAGAGCTGGGCAGGGGGGACGTTGGGGTGAGGGGCCCTGGATGGGCTGCAGGGGTCGGGGATTGAGGGGGCCCGGACAGGGAGGGTGGGGTGGAGGCCGTGAGGAAGGGAGGGTCCAGCGCGGGGGGGCCGGGGGTAGCTGAACGGGGGGAGGAGGCCTGGGGACAGCTTGGCCCAGCTCTGGGGCTGAAGGCCGGGCTGAAGGCCTGGGGTGAGTGGGGATCCAGCTGGGGTGAGTGGTGAGGCTGCCAGGGGAGGGGGGCACCAACCAACCTCAGCCAGTGCGCTTTTGGGCCTGGGTGGAGTTAGTGAGTTGGACTTCGGGGGGCTGTATTGGCCCAACAAGGCGAGCCTGGCTCTCCTCCCCCAACCTTCCTCCACCACCTCCACCAAGGTGTTCTTCGACCTGCGGATCGGTGAGGAGGATGTGGGCCGTGTCGTCATTGGATTGTTTGGCAAGACAGTGCCCAAGACGGTGGAGAACTTCATGGCCTTGGCCACTGGAGAGGTGAGGGGGACGTGGCACCCTGGGCCTCACCTGGCCCTGCTCAGGTCCTACTTGGTGCCCTGGGGCCATGGAGCTCTGGTCTGTGCCTTTGCCTCACTGCATGTTCTCCTTACGCACCTCCAGAAAGGATTTGGCTTCAAGGGCAGCAAGTTCCACCGTGTGATCAAGGACTTCATGATCCAGGGAGGAGACTTCACCCGTGGCGATGGCACTGGAGGTAACTTGGCAGATCCAAGCCACTGTCCTGGAGTGAGACAGCAGCTGCAATTCCAGCCACTGCAGGGCTGTCCCTGGGACCAGCACAGAGCTGGAGCTTGGTGCAAACAAAGATGGGCCTCAAAGCTGAGCTCACAAAGACAGGGCCTCGGAGAAGAACTGAGTGCTGGGGTAACTGGGATGCTGGGAGCCTCCTGCTCTGGTCCCTTGGCATGACAACCCTGTCCAGCTCCTGGGGTGCTCCCTGCAGCAGCCCATGTCTCTTGTATCCCTGTGACATCAGTGCTAGTCCCTGCTCTGGAACCGCTCATTCCCCCACCACCATCACCCCACCCTGACACATTCCACAAGATCGCTGCAGCCTTTTTGTCCCCACCTTTAGGAAAAAGCATCTACGGGGACCGTTTCCCTGACGAGAACTTCAAACTGAAGCATTATGGGCCGGGCTGGGTGAGCATGGCCAACGCCGGCAAGGACACCAACGGCTCCCAGTTCTTCATCACCACCGTGAAGACGCCGTGGCTGGATGGGAAGCACGTGGTATTCGGCAAAGTGCTGGAGGGCATGGTGAGAGATGGGAGAGGGACGGGCTCCGGGGAGAACAGGAGCTGGCAGGGCTTGGCCAAGCTGGCTCTGCCTGTGTGTCACACTCTCACACTCTGCTCCACCCAGGATGTGGTGCGGAAGGTGGAGAGCACAAAGACTGACAGTCGGGACAAGCCCCTCAAGGACGTCACCATCGTCGACTGTGGCACCATCGAGGTGGAGAAGCCGTTTGCCATCGCCAAAGAGTGACGGGACCAGGCCCTGCCAGGCTGTGAGGGGCTGTGGGACCGAGGCTGCCACGCTTCCCCTGCCCTGGGGCCACTGGGTCCTGCTGTGTCCCAGTGCCCGGCTCCTCTCCCTGCTGCCTCCCAGCCAGTGGGACGGGCCACAGGCTGCTCTTCCATCACTTTTGTAAGAAGCACATGCACCAATAAATGTGACCAATGTGTTTTTTAAAGAGCTCCTCTCCTGCCTTCAGAGGGGTGCAGATCGCTCTGCATCCCTCACACAGATGCAGCCCTCAACCTTCCACATCCTTCTTCCACATCTTATCCAGCTGGGAGCAGTGCCACAGTTGGCCCCGAGTTCGCTTTGCAGAATTTCACAGCACAGCACTTTGCCAGTCAGTCAGATCCAGATTTATTGCACCAAAGCCTGGATGCAGAGAGGTTTTCCAGCACCATTCAGCATCCAAAGGCTTGTACTGCAAGCCCAAAACAACAGGGGGGGAAGGCAGAGCTCCTGCTCTGGCAACAAAGGCACTTTGTGTGGTGGTGGGAGAGCAGTTCCCAACATCCCTTTGGCTTCTCCCCCATCCTCTTGAGTTCTCCCACTATTTCCCTGCTCCAGCCCAGCAGGGAGGAGTGAGTTTCACCACAAGGACTCTTCCCTCACCACTGCATCCCTGGGTGCTGGGTGGGGGTCTGGGAACTCATCATTCCAGAGGCTCGGGGTGCTGCCTGCCCAGGGACACAGCTCAGGGGGAGATAGAGGCCCTGCAGGACTCCACTGAGGACGGTGTTGGGGAGCAGGTCTGCAAGGAAAAGGGGGTGCTGTCATATCTTGTTCCCTCCTGAGCCCCATTAAAGGAGAGACAGCTCTGTAGGGCCCAGAAGAGCCTTTTGGAGGTTTTGGAGACCTGCTCCATGGCCCTGCTCCTTACCGGTGTCATGTGGCCGCACGTAGGGATCCGAGCAGAAGCCAACAACGGGGCGCTGCGAGGGCAGGAGCTTGGTGCTGCTGTGGAAGAGGGGACATCAGCCCTCAGCCTGTCCCCACCATCCCCAACCCCATGTACTCGGGGTACCTAACACAGGGCAGGGGGACAATAACCCTGGTGCTGGCAGAACTCATCTACTCACGGGGGGCTGCTGGCCTTGGGGTTCTGCTGGCACCGCCGCACCTTCAGGAAGTCCAGGACGTCCTGGGGCAGCTCCTCGTTGTGGTACAGCACACCCTGCAATGCTCCAGGGGGGTCAGCACCACAAAAACCTGTCCCAAACCCACCACCACGTGCTCCTCAACCCTGGAAACCCACCCCGAACCTGCTGTACACTCCTCACCTGCAGGTAGAGCTCCAGGCCCTGCCGGCGCTGCTCCAGCACTTTGGGCATCCAGTTGGGGACATGGCGTGGGGGGAAGTCGGGGACCTTGCAGGTCTTCTTGATCTGAAAGGAAGAGTGCAGGGCCATCAGGGCAGGCCCCAGAGGATGAGGCCGGGGACATCCCCTCCCTGCAGAGCTGGGGGCTCTTACCCGCTTGTGCAGTGCCTGGAACTCACTGTAGCGTTTGGTCACCGTGTGCCGCCGACCATTGCACAGCACCTCCACACGAAACACCTGCGGTGGGGACAGACACCGGGTCCTCCTCATCGGCCCCAGCCTTACCATCCTCCTTCTCACTGTCTTCATCACCCTTACCATCCCTCATCATCTTCACCATCCTCATCATCCTCACCAGCCCCAGCCTCACCATCTTCATCATCCCCACCACACTCATCAGCCTCACAGAGGCAGCAGGAGCCACTAACTCACACACCTGGGGAGGGCACTTGGGACATTCCACCCCCATTTCTCTGGGGCAGGCAGAGACCCCCACAGCCAATGGGGGCACCATGGGAGCAGGAAGGATCCCCAAAAGCAGAGGGGACACAATTCTTCTAAGGGGAACACAGCAAGGTTCATCCCGGCCCCCACCAAACCCTGCCACAGTTGGGATCCTGGGGCTGGCAGGGACCCCCAGCACCTTGGGGTGTGCAGGGACAGCAGGAAGGGACACATGGGAACCTCAAACCAATGGGACAGAGGGAGATAATCCATCTTTCCCCAAGGCAGGTGAGGCCTCCTACCGAGGGATACACATGGATCTCCACCCTCCTGGGCAAGGCAGGAAAAACCCTTCTTTCCCCACATGGCCAGAGGAAACCCCCAGACCAAAGGTGCCCCCATCCCACTCCCCAGGGCTGGTGGGGATCCCCCAGGCCAGGGACAGCCCCTGCATTCAAGGCTGGGCCCCTGAAGCCAGACAGGCACCTCCATCCACAGTGCCACAGGGGACCCCCCAAGGCCAAGGTAGAAGGGCAGAGGAGCCACCTCAGAAAGGAACCCTGTGGGGACCTCTGCCCAGCACCCCCTGGACCAGGGACCCATTCCCTCCCTTCAAGGGTTTTGTATTCCCCTTCCCAGACAGGGATCCACGAGGACAGCTGGGGACCTCTCCTCCTCAGGGCAGGTGGTCCCATCTGCCCCTCTCTCCCCTCCTCTTTGCCTGGATAGCCAGGATCCGTGGGAGGAGGTGAGGGCTGTGGGAACCCCCCAAGCACTTGGAGGATGTGCAGACACCCTGGTGGGCACATTAAGACTCCCACAACCTCCAGAATCCAGGGCAAGCAGGCACCCTCATGCCCAGAGACAGACAGGGACCCACCAACACCCTGGGGCCAGGTGTTGCCATTCCAGATGTAAAGAGCAGGGAATCCTCAGGGGCACTTGGATCCTGCACTCCTGGGGGAAGGACATATCCCTATCCTGGGTGCACAGGGACATGACAAGGACCCCCTGGGAACAGAGGAGAGACCCTCACCAATGATGCCCCTTCCCCACGCCTTCCAGGTGTAGAGGGTCACTGTCTGTCCCTTCCTCTCACCCCAGCTGGGATCCTCTGGATGCAGGCAGGGACAGCCACTCCTGGGCATGTGGGGACAGTGGGGGTGGGGGGGGGGGAACTTGGGGACATCCCACCCCCAGGGCAGATGTGGGACACACATCTGGGGCAGATAGGGGTATCCAGGGATAGACAAAAACCCTGTAACCCTCTAGGGTCAGAGGGATTCCTAGGGCAGAGGAACACCCCCAATACCAAGGACAGTGGGTGACCCCTGGGCTCCTCTTGGGACAAGCAGGGTTCCACAGTTACACTCAGTCCCTGACACACACGGGGGTACCTTCCCGGACACGGGGGAGATCCCCAGAGCAGGACCCCAGGGCGGGCAGGAAGAGCCTCCATGCCCTGGGGCAAGAGGAAGCAGTCCCGGGATGTGGGAAGCCCTGGGGACAAGGCACCAGGGGCACCCCTGGGGCGAGAGGGAACCTGCGGGACCGACACACTCCCGAGGTCCCCGGCAGGGACCCCTGGGGACCTCCCAGCGATACTTGGGGACCTCCAACCCTTGAAGCTGGGACACTTCAGGGTCCCCAGTCCCAGAGCAGGTAGGGCATCCCGGGGAAGGAAGGGAACTCCCAACCACGGGGACTAACAGGCACCTCTCCCCCCCTTTCAAAGGTAGAGGGTCTGTGCTCCCTCCGGCTGGGCAGGCCAAAATCTCACCTTGCCCATGTCCCCCATCCCCGCCTTCAAGGGCAATGGGTCCCCATAGGCAGCGACAGCTGTGGGTTCCCCCGCCTGGAAGCCCTGGCTCAGGACCCGCCTGTGTCTGTCAGGGACCCTCCCAGGTGGGTTCGGGGTCCTCCAAGCCCGGCCTGGGGCAGCCCCCAGCCCGGGGGCAGAAGGCAGGAGTCGGGGACGAGCAGGACACGGGGGCGGTGGGACAGGCAGAGCCCTCCAGCTCCCGGGTTAGGGTGGAGGACCCTGGGGAAGCGTAGAAAGCTCCGAGCCCCGCAGGCAGCGGGGACAGGGGCAGGCAGGACCCCGCACACCCCGGAGCCTTCCAAAGGCAGAGCGCGTCCGTGACTGGCACCGGCGGGGACTCCCTAGGGACAGGCAGCCACCTCCACTCCCAGGGCACGTGGAAGACCCCTGGGGCAGAAGGAGACAAATCCCCCCGGGAGCAAAGGGTGACTCCCCCATGGGGACCTGGGGACCCCCATTCTAGGGCAGCTGGGACTCCCCAGACCAGGGACACCTCCCCCCCGCCAGGGACCTGCACTCCCGGGGGCCGCTCGGGGACAACCGGCGCCCTCCAGCCCCCGGGGCAGGAGGAGACACCCTCCTGCAGCCCTCCCCGCAGGCAGAGCCCCCCGAGCCCCGCACAGCCCCCAGGCTCACCGTGTGCGCCCGCTCGGGGCTGCGCGCAGCCGGCGGGGGCTCCGCGGCCGGGATGGACACGGCGATCATGGCCCGCAGGGACCGCCCCGGGCGGGGACAGCTCCGCACAGCCCGGCCACGAGCCCCGGCACAGCGGGAGGGAGCCGCGGAGACGCCGCGGGGACCCGGGTTACAAGGATAAGGGGAAAGGAAAGAGGGAAGTCAGCCCGAGTTGCTTTTTCTTTTTTAACGCAGAAAGGGTATCGGTTTTGATAAAAAGCACACGCGAGGCTGGGGAGGGGGGAAAGGGCCAAAGGCAGCCCCGGGTAAGGGGTGGTAGGAGCACCACACCCGTAAGAGCTCCACCATGGATTTCTAGGCAATTCCACAAAGTGGGACTGCTATAAAGCCCCGCTGAGCTCAGATCCTAAAAACGGCTCCCGCTGGAAGAAAGGCAGAGAGCCAACGCCTAATCGAGAGCAGGGACAGGTGGCCAGAGCAGCGTCCAAGGTCACCTCTGTCCAGCCACAACACGGGGGAGGCTCTGCTGCTTCCCTCGCCCTCCACAGGATGCACCGTTATCCCTCCCCACTCCCACCCTCAACACCCAGAGCCTGTTTGCCCTGATAGAAGTTTTATTACAGAACTTTAATGGCACTGCAGGAGTAAGATAACTCATTAGAGCTTTAAAACCCAGCCTGAAAAATAGATATTTGCCAGATCTCATTAACACCCTGGCTGCAGGTCTGGTCTGGAAGCAGGAAACTAGTTTCTCTTCAGTAAGAAAATATATGTTGCTAAATGAAAAATATACAGTTAGAAGAGTTACTGGCTCACAAGCTGCTCGTCTGGGGGTGACACCTCTACCAGCTCCACCATGTGGAACGAGGGGCTGCTCACGTGGAAAAGAGGAGGAGGTATAGTGTATATAAAAAAAAAGGCAAAATTCAGGTTTGCTCAGTCCAATTAGGAAATGGCCTTGGCTTCAGGCAGGAACGCTTCCCAGTACTTCACCAGCTGCAGGGAGGAGAGGGAGAGAGTCAGGAGCCTTCAGGATGGAGCTGCAGTGCAGGGGGGTCATGCTTGAGAGATTCACAAGCTTGGCCTGAACTTGGACACAAAAGCACATCAGGGACCACTCACCTGTTGCTGAGAGTTCAGTAACGTCTCAAGGTATTTCATGACGTGGTTTCTGAAGTCCTTAGATTTCTCTTTCTGCAAGAGATGGGCGTGAAGTTGGACCAACCACCAAAACCCTCGAGATTTTGGGAGGGGGAAGGAGAAACCACCAGGATTTTCCTGTTCCTCCTGGGGTGCCAGGAGGAGACCAGCACACCGGCCCCAGAGGCTCTTTGCCCACCCAGCTTCACTTTAACGGGGTCCCTGCGGGGAAGCCCCTCTTATCCAAAAGCTCTCAGCGACACCCCAGCTTGTACATGATGGGTTTTAGGGATGCTGCTGTGCCAGGAGGAGGGGCAGGAGCCCAGGTCAGCCCCAAGGGCTGCCCTAAACGTACCTCAAACCGTATCACTTCCTTGCGGATGACGGCAGAAATCCGCTCAAAGTCCCTTTCGTACTGTGTCACCCGGGACTCCCACTGTGGAGACAGGAAGTGCTGTTTGGGGGCAGGAGAAGGAACTCCTGCTCCCCTCGGCATGGGCGTTTGAAGCCACAACTGTACACGTAAGAGGTGTTGCTGGAGCAGAGGTTGGTCTTTCCAGCCCTTATCACCACCTCAGCATTGAGGTCACGGGAGGCAGGACCACCAGCAGCCCCTCCTGCAGCCTCACCCAAGGCTAGCTTGGCCACAGACACCTGTCCCTCCCAGTCAGGAGGAGATCCCCAGGCCAGAAGGTTCCTTCCCCAGCCCAGAAGGTCCCCCACTGGAACATGGAGGGCAGGAACAGAGCAGAGGCCCCATGCTCCATTTCCTACCTCCGAGATCTCATCCTTGGCCTGCTGCAGCTTGTCGGGTTTGTTTGCCCACAGCAGCCTGGCCTCCATCTCCCTCTTCTTCTGGAGCATGGTCTGGGCGTCCTGCCACCGCTGCCAGGTCTTCATGCGCTGATCAAAGGCTCCCTGGAGGGAAGGAGGGGCAGAGGGCTCCTGACAAGGGGACACTGGAGGTCCAGGACCAAAGCTGAGCCAGAACACAGATTGGGTCCTGCTCTGGAGCATCCACAGCTCCCATGTGGACCAAGGATATGGTGTTCTGGCCTCTGTGGCAGGATGTGCTTGGGCAGGGAGGGATCAGCCTGCTGGATGTGCTACTACAGATGGGCTGTGTGGACTTGATGCCCAAGCTCAGGAGCATCAGGACTCAGGCTCTGCCACAGCAGGTCAGTTTTCACCACCTGTATCACAGGTTACCAGCTCACAGATTCAGCCTTCACCTCTGGAAGGGCTGGGGTCACCCACAAACCATGAACTTGCTCCACATCCCCTCTGGGAACAGCAGCACAGCCAGGCCTCACCTACAGCCATTTTCCAACCTAACCAGTGCACACCTGGACAACCAGCAAGTTTTCCCTCTACCTGAAGTGGGATGCCTTGCATGCCCTCTGCTATGTCCTGTGCTTGAGTTTGGAAGATCTCCTGGCACCCCTGAGCCTAAGACAGGTATGAGGAGCACGAGCAAAGGAGTCCTTACCCTTACAACCGAGAGCAGGCGGATGTAGTCCCCTAGGAGCTCGGCCAGGAGGAAGAAGTCATTGTTAGCCTGTTCATGGTGCAGCTGCTCAATCTTCTCCTCCACCTCAGCCAGCTGGGACAAGGCCCGGGACAGGGCTGTGTTGTCCTCCGAGCTCCCCAGCATGGCCAGACTCTTGGCAAACTGGGCTGTGTTCAATGCCAGCTCTGGGGAATGGGATGAGGGTCAGGAGACAGGCCTGGCTGCACCAGGAGCTCCCCAGCAGGAGGTTCACCCCTTGGAGCTGACTTTCCATAGCTCCAGGAGATAGCAGCTGGAAGAGCCAGCACTGGCTCAGCCAGAGCTAGCAGTCCCCAGCCATGAGGAGAAGGGAAGCAGCCGAGCAGGAGGACAGGCACAGCTTCACAGGAATCAAAACATGCAGAGGAAGGAAAACATCCCCACTCCCAGAGAATGTCTCAGAAGGAATAAGGTCAGCTCTGCTCAGGTTTGTTACAGCAGCTTTTAGTCCCATGAAGATGGATGGAGGGAATTGGGGTTGATCAACCTGGAGAAGGCTCCAGGGAAACCTCAGAGCCCCTGCCAGTGCCTCCAAGAGAGCTGGAGAAGGACTTGGGACAAGGGCCTGGATGAAGGGGAAATGGCTTCCCACTGCCAGAGGGCAGGGATAGATGGGATATCGGGAGGGAATTCTTCCCTGTGAGGGTGCTGAGACCCTGGCAGAGGTGCCCAGAGCAGCTGTGGCTGCCCCTGGTTCCCTGGAAGTGCCCAAGGCCAGGTTGGACAGGGCTTGAAGCAACCTGGGACAGTGGGAGGTGTCCCTGCTCATGGCAGGGGTGGAACAAGATGAACTTCAAGGTCCCTTTAGTCCCCAAGCCATCCTGGGATTCTGTGATCCCACAGGACACAGGTTCTCTTTCACACTACCACCCCAAGCTTGTGGAGCTGGACAGAAGAACTGGAGTGACCATTTTACATCTGTCTCCCAGGAAGAAGAGACAGAATCCTTTATAACAGTGTCCCACGTCCTTGGAAGTGTCCCTGGGACAGCTGGTGACCCCCCCAGGCACGGGGCAGGGTGTGACTGTCCCAGCCCCGGTGCCAGCGCACGGCGCTGATCCGGTCACCTTTCCGGTGGTTCACCAGCGTCTCCACCACCGCGTGCAGCTTCCGCAGCCGCTGGTCCTCACACTCCACCTCCTGCAGCTTCTCCTCGAACCACTGCAGGGGTAAAGCCAGAGCCGATTCCCACAGCTGGAGCTGGGAAGAGCCTTTGGCTCCGGAGCGAGGACAGGGACAGCCCAGAGGTGCCCCGACACTTACGAGGTCCGATTCATTCATCTTGATGGTCATTTTACTGACAGCATCCGTGGCCTTGTTAAACATCTTCATGATTCCTGCCCCACTCAAGGTCTGGGTTCCTACTGCTCTTGGGAGCTGGAAAGGAAGGGAAAAGTTTGCTTTGCCATAGGAGATGGAGCCAGGCTGGGAGGGCCGGGGGTGCTCACCTGGAGAAGACAAGGCTCTGGGGCAACCTCAGAGCCTCACTAAGTGCCTAAAGGGCCTCCAGGAGAGCTGGAGAAGGACTTGGGACAAGGGCCTGGATGAAGGGGAAATGGCTTCCCACTGCCAGAGAGCAGGGACAGATGGGATATTGGGAAGGAAATCTTAGCTTTGAGGGTGATGAGACTCTGGCACAGGTTGCCTAGAGAAGCTGGAAGTGTCCAAGGCCAGCGGATGAGGCTTGGAAGAACCTGGGATAGCAGAAGGTGCTCCTGCCCAGGGCAGGGGGTGGAATGAGATGGGCTTTTTAAAGTCCCTTCCAGCCCAAGCCATTCCATGATTCTGTTTTGCCCATGAGGTAATTGCTGAGTGATCTCTCCCTGCCCTTACTTCAACCCACAAGCCTTTTGTTTATTTTCTCCCTCATGTCCAGCTGAGGGGATGGTTCAGCAGCTTTGGTGGGCACCTGGTATCAACACCAGTTCCCACTCCAACTCCCACAGGGTTCTGCCACTTCCTGCTGAGCTCTGTGGGATCCTGCCTCATTAACTGCTCAAGTACCACTTCCTTCAGTGCTTCCAAGGATACCTTACTCCACACCACTGACCTCCTCCTTCTCCAAGAACTCCCTGACATCTGGGTCCTGCAGCATGGTTGGATGGCTGACCACTCTCCGTAGGTACCTGTGGGAGGAACGACTCCAGGAGTTACTCTGGCTGTAGAAAATTTGGCTCTGAGCCACCACAGTGACACAGCTTGGTATTTACTCCAGTATAGTGCTGGGGAGCTGGAAATCGAGCCAACAGCTGCTCTAATTCACCCACCAGTTCTCCTGTCTCCCTGGGGAATTTGGTGATGCCACAGTGAAGGCCAGACCTGCCAGACCTCTCTGAGGTCCCTCACGCAGTTCAGGGACAGCTGATGGGGTCATACCTCT